GACGTTAAGTGTGGCGATGGCAGGCTGGCTCGCCTGCAGACACACACATGCACACGCACACACACACACACACACACACACACACACACACACAATTCTCCCTCGCTCGCCGACACGCGAGCGAGAACAGATCCAAAAAACACAGGCACATTCAAACACACACATTCACACCACCTCAGCGCCCACCTGGCTGCCGTAGTAATGGTCCGCAAGCGCCCGCACCAGCTCCGTCTTGCCCACGCCCGTCGGCCCCACGAACAGCAGTGCCGCCACCGGCCGCTTGGGGTCGCGCAGGCCGCAGCGCGCGCGCGCCAGGGCGGAGGCGACGGTGTCGATGGCGTCGGGCTGGCCGATGACGCGCTCCTTGAGGGCGGTGGCCTGGGGGCGGGGGTGGGGTTGGTTGGCCGGTTGTTTGGTTGGTTGGTGTAGGTTGGATTGTTGTGAGTAGGGTTTATGTAGATACTATTGATTCCGGCGGGGTCAAGGTGTTGGAAGGATTTGAGGATTTGCGGTGGCCTGGAGGTGGAGGGATGGGGTGCCAGTGGTTGCGCTTCACCAGGGCCGCCGGCGGCCTGGAGAGTGGATGCTCACAAGGCCAGGCGGGGTGAGACAACACAAACACATCAAAGTGCTGGAGACCGGCGGGGACGCAGGCAAGCATCGAAGGAAGGTGGTGCGGCCTGATCTGCTCTTTGCGCTACATGATGTAGCACAGAGATTGACAAGACGACCCCGACGGCGCGCGTGGCCCGCAACAGCAGCCGGCGGCGCCCCCATGGACAGCCAGCGACCGCGCGGCCGCAACCCACCAGCGTGGCCACGCGCCGCGCCTCGTCGTCGGTCAGCCGCTCGACCGGCACGCCCGTCCACGCGGCGACGATGGCCTCCACGTCGGCGACGCCGACCACGGGCAGGCTGCTGCCGCTGGGGGCGGGGCCGGACAGCGCCGCGGCGTAGTCGACCTGGCGGCGGCGCCTGGGGGGTTTTTAAGGGGGAAGGGGCGACGCCCGGGAGCGGGTGCGCGGTTTGCATAGTGTGGGGTGAAGCGGACGTCGAGCGGCGCCCGCAGTCTCCGCTCCCGAGGAGAATTGGTTGGGAAGCACGCAACGATGGGAGGGCGTGTGCTGTGAGCCAGGATCACGACTGGCTCGCAGTGGAAAGAGAGAGGGCGCGACAGAGAGGGCGCGACAGAGAGGGCGCGAGAGAGAGGGCGCACACACGCGTGTGCGTCAGAGAGAGACAGTATGCTTGCGTGCATGCGTGTGTGTGTGTGTGTGTGTGTGTGTGTGTGTGTGCGCCAGGGATCTCACAGTATGCTGGCCTCCTCGTAGAGGCCCTCCTTAACTGCGTCCTCCTTGGTCTCAAGGACCTTTGAGGGGGAGGGATAGGGGCAAAAGGCAGGGGTCGTCGGGGG